GTGTGTTGCAGGTTTAACTCTGATCTGTTTTTAATCATCTCTCAATCAAAGCCCGCCTCGGGTAAACATCAACTGTTCCCTGCTTCATTAAGGCCGTGCTGTTTGTTGGAGGTGGTCATTTTTGTGTCACAAATGCAAAAGAAGTGGACTATCTGTTTGCTTTTCTCTCGACAGCTGCTGCTGCCAGCGCAAATTATTTAGAGCTGAGCTGCAGGCTTGTATTATTCCACCCTAACTAAACTAGCTGCACCTACATATCTATATTCATCCTTTTTGTTTTTTCATGTTTCACTTTCCAGCGTCATGAATCACCAGCGAGCGATGACGGCTATCTCAAAATAGCAAATAGATTATTCAGACGATTAATTTATGTTTACTAAGCCGAGGACTGGATTGACAGTTTCACTGCTGCCAAATGTCTCATTCGAGTGTTTTGGAGTTTTTTCTCTTTTTTTTGTTTTGTAAGTGTGGGAAAATCTCTACAAGCTTGTTTGCGGCCCATGGAAACTGGCAATTTTGTGCCAAGAGTTCATTTGCAACGTTGGCTGACATGGCACAGTCATTGGTATCTTCACCAATCTCGTTGAAATTAATCCAACTGAAAGTTTGTTTGTTTTTTTAATGTAGACTTTTTGAACTTGATGATTATGATGACGTAAGACACCAGACTGAGTCACAAACCCTTTGATATTAAATAATATGATGAGTGGGCCTTTTTAGCATTATAGCAGTATAAACTTAAGGCTAAATTTACACAAAAATGGTGCAAAAGAATGAAGAATCAACCTTCTTCCATAATGTTCTCATCCAATATTTTGGATGAGATATTTGGTAGAGTTTTATTCACAAACTTCTTAAAAAATAACCAAACTTCACTATGGAGTCCCTTTCCACAAATGCAGAAGTGGTAAAACAGACAAAACGAGCTCTAAAAACAGAACCTAGTGGTAAAATGATCAACCCTTGTCAAAAGCATGAAAACAATATGAATGTAAAGCAACTCACTGCTGAATTGAGTAACTTCATATTAAGTTTTCAGCTAATTTTGGGATGTAAGAAACTGCTCCACTTCAGCCAACTTTTAAATGGTTCCACCAGGGGCTGGAAGAAAGAACTGGTTGGTGAAGTCGACCAAAGGTCCACAGTTACTTTGTTTGTTTGTTTGTTTGCTTGTTTTTTCATTCTCATGCTGTGGAGCGTGAAAAGCTTCCATCCAGACCATTGATGGTGTGAACTAAAGAGAAGCAGACACAAGACATGATCTGGAAAGTAATTATTTTTGCAGCAGAAATTTTCTCCCAGCTGAATTTTTCTTACTTTTTCTGTGTGAAATAAAGCCACTGCAATAATAATAATAATAAAAAAAGCTATATTTCTTAATAATTTATCAACATTGTTTCAACTCTCCACATGTTTGTCTCTTAAATTTGCAGTGATTTGTATTTTAACCGCCATATTGTAGGCTCCCAGTATTTTTGCTCCACATCAAACATTTTTGAATTGCTTAAAGTAAACAGGCGGATTTCACCATCTTTTCTTCCTCGGGCTTTAAACAGCCACAGTGAAGCGTTTCACTAATGATCAAATCCCCCACTATTCACATCTCGGCTTCAACAATATAGCTTCTGTAGAGCAGAATGTGCAGCTAGAGAGCCCAGCAATTATTAACAATGAACACCGTTCATATGCAAAACACCTAAGCCTTGAAAAACGTTTAATAAGATCTAAGACCCGTCGTCACAATTAAATGAGACAAATCACCTCAGAGGAAACGTGCGACCGTCTTTCTCGAGCCTCGGCGGTCTCGTGCGAACCTGGGTCCTCTCCGGTACTCGGTGGCAGTTTTCAGACGTTTCAAAATGTCAGCTGCAGACAGAATGAATTGATGCGTCTCGAAGAGAACCAAGAAAGTAAAGCCTGCAGCTGGCGGAAGCAAAAAACCCGTGTGTTAAAACAGAAATGACAACCAATTCAGAGAGTGTCCCATTTTTTTATTTTTTTTATTTTTTTTCTGTGCTCATCTGTGAATTTTAACATCTGGTTCCTACTGGAAAATATCGTGTGTGTGTGTGTGTGTGTGTGTGTGTGTGGTGTGTGTGTGTGTGTGTGTGTGTGTGTGCGTGTGCGTGTGTGTGTGTGTGTCGCTCCAGTGAAAACACGCAGATGCTACTCACTACATGAGTGTTTTGTTTTTCCAAAATGCATATTCTAGTGGAGAGCAGGCGTAGCTGGAAAGGTTTCGCAGGGACTGAAGGTTTCTCATTAATTTTTGAATTTGCACAGGGGCTGACTGGGAGGTCACAGAGGCTTTTGCTTGACACATGATTCACGGCGAGTGGGATATTAACTTGACATTTCTGAAGCCTTTTGCAGTCAAAGTTTTTTGAGCTGCTTTTGTCGAATGCGTTGGTCAAAGAGATAAAAGTGGTGTTAAAAGGCTTATTTTAAGTGGAGTCGCTGATATCCGTCTGATTAATGCTGGGAAGAGTGGAATCCTACCTGATTCAGCAGCAACCGGATGTCTGCGTTGCTCTGAAGAGCTTAATACCAAAGCAATGGCACTCTGGGCTTCTTTGTCAGAACTCCAGCTTGAAAACTGGTGTGTCTTGGCTCTGCGTCTGAACAAAACATGTTTCAAGAAGTCAATCAAAAATAATTGTCAGCTTTGTCTGCACACATAGTGCAGGTGTGCAGTCTGTGCCCCTGCTGCTTTTCTCCCAACAGCCTTCATCGCAGCCCTGCTGCTTTCTTCAGTGCGTCAAACTGATGCAAAATGTGGCAGAGATCGTGGTTTTTATTCAGACGTTTGTAGTGGTGACAACTTGTTTTTCCTCATTTGAAATGGAGCGTGTTAATCTGGAAATGCACCATTTTGCCTCCTGAGCACAACACCCTTCAGCGTGAGAGTTGTTACCGAGTTGCTAGCTCGAAACAAAGCCAGAAATGGAACAACAATTTTGAAAATGATCAACTCCAACACTTTAAATGAACACTTTGAAAAGTTTAACTTGACCAAAAGAAAATTATAAACCATGGTTTTTTACAGAGATAAATTGGCTTCCATTCAGGTTGGTTTCTACCTGAGTTTTGTATTGGATTAGTTGTCCATCAGCACCAAACATGCTCAGGGGATTTGCGATCAGCTTAACAAGTTAAAATTTGATTATGGTACATGTGTTTTTTTATGTTTGTTTGTTTGGGGGGTTTTCCACTGTGTCTGTCAATATCTTTTAGCAATCAATAAAAAGACTGTCTTTCAGCTGAAGTCCTTGCCCAGACGCCACGGCCACGCAGTTGTCATTTCGAACACGCTGAGCTGATTACAATGGACGCTGCCTGTAAGTAATAGGATCAGCAAGCCGGCGCGTGTGCAGGGCTTCGGCTTGGGTGGATTCTCACTGTTATTATTGGGCTTGTTGAGTTACAGAAAGCCTTCGTAACAGGAAAGGACAGATTTGTTGCGAGTGGCGGTTCCCTTTCGCAGAATTGAGAAAACGTGTGTAGGCTCCTCTTCAGTTCCTAAAGTCTTTTAAAGCCCCTTCGTTAGGAGATGACGTAAGGCCGGGTCTGGGAGAGAGCGGCGGCGCATCGAGCTGCTCTCCACCAGGATTACTGGGATATTATAGGTCAGCTCCTTGGGGCTTTTTGGTTTAATTAAAGATGGTACTCATTAAGTCATCAGTGTTCCACCTACATTATACTCGACTTTTCATTTCCACTCATTATTGTTCTGCTGGCGATTAGGTGCGATATAAATTAATCAGAGTGGTTTATGGCATGTGATGGATTTGCTAATAAAAGAACTGCTCAGACCTGGAAAGCCGTGATTCGGCAAAAATGTATCAAATCCATAAGAAGTCCGATAGAACCATCATGCACAAACCATTGCTCTTCTAGTTGTGATAGGAGAGTGGCAAGAAGAATTGCTACTGAAGGTTTTCACATGTTGAGACTAAATTTGAATTTTTTTATTTATTTTTTTGCCAAGATGTGCAGGTGGAAACCAGCACTGGAAATCACACCGAACGCTACATCAGCACTGCGAAATGCCATGGCCATACCTTTTTTCATTTCATTGTGTCCTAAGTCCGTTTGGTACCTGCGAATAAACAACTTCACAGCTGTGTACTTAAAGCGTTGTGTACCAGTTTATTGTTAAATCTTACAGGAAATTACTTACTTTAACCGCTTTAATTTGCTTTGTTGGACCAGAGGTACTCCTAAAATAAGCAGAGTGTTTGCTCTTGCGGCCTGGAGCTGGATAACCCTGAATCTGACAGGTGGCGACTGGAAGCAGGTCTGGTATGAAGACATCCACAGTGTCTTCCTAGAAAACATCAGGTCCAAAATGACCAAAACGAGAGAGGTATGGAAGTGAATGTAGTGGAGATATTTTTCTTCAAGCTTGGACAGGGAAGCAATGAAATGGTTAAAATTTAAAAGAAATTAAAAACTTTCTCCTTGGAAAATAACACCAAATACATGATTAGAGCTACATCTGGATGGTTGCGATCAAAACATATTCTAATGAAAAAAAAACTGTCTTGATTTTCTTTTTTTATGAAGCATTTCCTCACCGGGAGCTCTGCGTTTTGGCAATCCTATAATGCCGGCCTGTGAAAAGGCAATCAAATATTGATTAACGCCGGTGGGAAAGTCGTTGATCCAAGAGAATCTCAGTGACGAACAAAAACATCCTACACAAACTGACCAATCTCTATGCAGAACATGTGAATAAACAGATGCCGTTGATTAGTCATGATGGTTATTAAATCTGCACGGCCTCGAAACAGAAAGCTGCGCCGACGCAAGCAGCAGGCTTCCCATCAAACTAAAGACTATTCTCCCGTTCTTTGGGAACATACCTAAGCATGTATGGTGTGTTCCCATGGTTTGGGAACATGCCACAAGCTCAGGGGACTTGCAATCCAATTGTTATGTCTTTTATTGCTTCACTTTTGCGACTCCATCTTTGTCTTTTCTGTCTCCCCCGCCTGCAGGGCAGTCGTTGGACACAGAGAGCCGCTGCCTGATGACAGCAAAGACAACATTACCATTTTCACCCGGATCCTCGACAGGCTCTTGGACGGGTACGACAACAGGCTACGTCCCGGGCTCGGAGGTAACCGAGGAGATTTGTCAGACAAATCGCACACAGACAGTGTTTTCAGCCGTGATGTTGACGGCAACATGGTGCACAAACACACTTGTCGAGCATTATAATAGGTGATGCTTATTCATGCACATTTTAGTTTGTGGTGTCTGAGATGTTACTCTTCATTTTTTCCCCTCCAAAAGAATATTAGCGACGTATGTAAATGTACTTTAAAGTTGCTGTTCTTCGCTGGGCCTGAATTTTTGGCTCTTGGACTAAAAATGTCAAGTCAAATGGACTCCTGGGGCAAAAAGAAAGAAATATTTCTAGTAAAAATGCATTCGAACAACCGTCATACTGTTTTATCAACTCCACAATGTAGTGGTTTGAGGCTACAACCGGCAATTATATTAGTAATCAATTAATCTATTGCTTATTTTGATGATTAATCGGTTAAAAACAAACCTGGCACATTCTGCAGATTTTTAAATTAGCCTCTTTGAGCTTTTCATAAAAAATGTAATTCCTTTTAAAAATAAGAAATTAAATGCAAAGTTTATTTATATTTTGTGCATTTTTGGTGTGATAGTATTTGAGTTTTGTGTTCTTTCGGGAAATGGCCTTTTTTGGAGGATTTATGCTCAAGTTAATGATTAATCGACTACTAAATTAACTGGCGATGACTTCAATAATTGATTAATTATGATTAATAACTTCAACCCCAATTAGTTTTACTAAATAAATATTTCTTTCCTAGTAAAACAAATTTTTTTCAAGTGTTTATTGAGAGAAAATGGCAATAAATAAATAAGAAGTCCCTTCTTTCTTGCAAAAGAATGCAAAACTATGTGGTTACTTTGCATTTCAGATTTCTATAATAATTATTTGTCCCATTTAGAAATAAAAAACTTTCCATCTAATTTAATTCCATTCATCTTAACAATAAATTTTAAAAAATCAGTTGCAGTGGCAACGGAGGGAGGACAGTTAAACTCTCAAGGACTCCTTAAAGCAAGAGGAAGTAAGTTGAGGTTGGCGTGTTGCTCTCGCTCGGACGCAGTCAGCAGATACCGCAGTCCAGCTTGGCAAAGCTCATGAAGGTTATATAGGATTGAAGGTTCTTTAAAGCCTCAGGCAGCTCCAGCGTGATCGCCCATGCTGTATCTGTCTGCACATGCAGAGTCCAAACAGGACTTTTCATTTTCACCACACCGTCTGTCTGTGTTACAGCAAGAAAAATTTCTGTGACGCATCTATTTCTATATCTGTGGAAATGATATTTGTGCTGGTTTGTAGCCCTAAGTGTGATTGTTTACACAGATCCCCCCAAAAATTGCCACAACCCTTTTTTTGCAATTTTTCATGAATATAGTGCCATGTTTAAACGAATTATGCCGCACCGAAATTCAGTTTAGCACTCCTGGATTTCACATGGTGAGTTTACAGCTATATATTTCGGCTCATTGCTCTTTATTAATCACAACTGGTTAACTAAGCAAATCAAAAAAGCATAGTAAAATCCAGACAGCATATGATCTAAAATACTAATACATTATTGTAATCAAATAATGCTAAATAATTCTTTATTAATACAAATCAGAAAGGACGACATAGGACCAGCCCGAGCCACTTTGGCATCTTTTGCAAAATCTTGCGTGATTCTATTTCTTACTCTTTAGTAGGCTTTTCAGTATTATGTAATATTAATATTCACAGTGTTGCCACTGTTTAAAATAATGCAATGAAATCAACAGAACTTGCATCAAAGCATTTCTGATTCTGGATCCAAATTTTTTTGGAAGAAGGAAAATTTGGCTCAACCTAGCAAGACAACAAATGGCACTGGCATGAAAGCGATGTAAAAAACTACAACAACAGGCAACGTTGGTGCACTGAGTGCTGCATTTTGTTGTCTAATCTTTGTAAGTTGTGTGGTTTTTTTTTCCTATTGTAAATGTTTTGGCACAACCGCAGCCTGATGCAAACAAAATGTGTCGCCTTGACCATGGATGACGCTGTGTGTGAGTTTACTGTCATGAAAATGTGGAGTTTCAGAGCTCAGCAAAGTTTGATTTATTTTAGGTGGAGTATAGAATATTTTTTAGAATTGGTGCAGAATTCTTTGTTTTAGGAAATTATATTATTATTAAGTTGATATTAAAGTTTTGTGGGGTTTTTTACCCCTTTTTATGGCACCTTTAACATTTGTTTATACCTTCTAAGCCACGGGTCGACTACGGTATGGCATGTATTTGTACACATTTGCGAATAAATTCTGCTCTGGACTTTAACTAGACCATTCTAAAACATAAGTATGCTTTACTCTAAACCCATTCCCTTTGAGCTCTGGATTTGCATTTTTTCAGTTTCATCCTATATTTTGTTCTCGCCAAGCTCCTCTGACCCTGCTAAAGAAGACCATCCACCAGAGTATGAACTGCCACTACTATGCTTCCCGTCGGTATGGCATATTGAGGGTGTAAGTTTTGCCCCAAACGCAGCATTTTGAAAGTAATATTTAACTTCTGTCTTCCATAAAGAGCCATTTAATTTTTGGTTGTACCACATCGTTTAGTCTTTTTCTTATTTTGTTTTGTGTTGTTTAGTTTTGTTCCCCTTCAATCCGAAGCGTCCCCCTCTAACCAGAGACGACTCGCCGGCCCATGATGAAGTCAGGTCACTCTGTGCGGCTCCGCTATGGAAATTCATTTCCCTCTGGGTGAAAGTCTTTCTTCAATCGCACCCAAATGGCAAATAAGCATATATGTCAGTGAAAGTCCCACTAATTGAGGCCATTTGATTCAAATATTCGTCCCTCCAGGGACAACATACTGCATAACAGTGAGCCCACATGCTCATCAAGCGGGCTTCATTATTTCTCGGCCAGCCAGCTGGAATGTCCATTTCTGCTCTATTGCTTGTTACTCAAGCCTAAAGCCTGCCTGGGGAGATTACAGTCACCAGGCTGGATCTCTGTGAACCTGCAGGTCATTAACATTTCTCACTAGAATTATGTGAATGATCTGTTCTCACCTGATGTGTTTTTTTGGAAATAAGCAGAGTCAAGGCAACAAATCGACAAATATTAAGGCCAGTGTTGCTTTTGCTGCCAATTAAAGTCAGCAAGTGTTTGGCTCATTTGTTGGCACCCCTGGGAAACACCTAAAAATAAAAAAAGGAAATTTAAAATTTTGTTTTGGTATTTAATTCACAGTAAATTACAATCTCACTGGCAGAAAACAATCATTTCTTTTCCCCACTAAGTAACTGTATTTATATAAAAGACTCATAATTTTTACATATTCTTACCATGTGTGATTGAATATTTTCTCTTACTTTTATTCATGCTTTTCGGGAAGTTGATATGTAAAAACATGCATACACACAGTTTAAAATGAAGAACACTAAAACTGATTTTCAACAAAAATAGCATAAATGAATCTTTTCCTCCAGTAAAAACCATTGCTTATAAATCTGTGAGGACGCCCACACATAATTCAAATTAGCTTTTGTCTGAAACGAAAGGAAGAATATCTACAGATTACTTTAGTTGCTGTCCAGAGTTTATGTCTGTCATAGGTTCTTCTTCAAAAAAAATAAAATACAGTCCCTATAAAACTAGAAAACGCAGTCTCATTTTGTTTTCAGGAGTGTCTGCATCTGTTGTTCAGCTGCCCGGCATAAACAGAAAGAGGGCGACTTCTTCTGCTAATGCCTAAACCTGCCATGCAAACTGCTGACTTTGTGTTGCGATAATCACATATTTGGAAGAGCCATTTGTGTTGCAGAAATGATTAATGTGGCAGTGGATCTTTTCTCACAGTGGGGCCCTTTGCTAAAGGATTAGAGACTTACCTGTGGGTGGTCGCTCAGATCTGGGACACAGCTAGAGCTGAGGATCCATTCACTTCTGGAGAAAGGGCTCATCTATCTCTAGTTGTTGCTGCTCCACTGGGAGCAGCAATTTGTCTCGCCAGTGGCCCAAGAGCCTGCTTGGCATGATTGCCCCACAGGAGCTGATTCAGCCCGCACTGAAGAGGGCAACTTTTTGACTGTCGTGATTCTTATCGCCTGCCCTACTTAATGCTGCGTTTAGAGGAATTATGAAATGTTCAGAAAATGTCGCTCACTTCTGGGTCATTTACAGTGGGTCTAAAATTCTGCTTGCCTTCCTGTTAAAATGTCCTTGTGCTGTAAAATTTCGAAACCTTTTGACAAGACGTCTGAAAAAGAACAAATCTGTCAGACGGAAAGAAGAAACAGCTGCAGCAGCCTGGGTGTGTAATAGTTCACACCTCTGGACTAATTATTTGCGAGAACTTCTTGTTTAATTCAATCGTTCATGAAACGAGAAAGAAGTCTGTTAACATCCCACATGTTGTATGCCTTACAGGAATTTGTGAGGGCATCTGTTCTATGAAAGACTTTCTGTCAGATTTCATTCTGAGCTGAACTTTTCTTTTGATGTTGAATCTCTTTACAGAGATTTGGAGTCGGGGTGATGACAGTTAAAAATACTTTAAATTTCAGCTGTTTTTCTGTTTTTTTAATTACAGACATGAAAGCTTTGAGGCAAAACTGAGTGATGGTTAAATCTGCTAAAGATTTTGTCCATTTTAGCAAATACGTTAGTGCCGTCTATTGAAAAGTGACCGCAGAGCATGACAGTGCCACCACCGTACTTCACAGTGGGTTTCAGTGTTCTTTTAGTCGTGTGCTGATGCATTTTGATGTCCACGTTACTTTTTGGTTTCATCAGACCAAAACGCCACCATCGCATAAATTCATACAAATACAACATTTTCATGTTTGTAATACTCAAAGGATTGAGGCAGGTTTTTTGTTGCTGTGATAAAGTAACACGCAAAGTAAAGTATAACTGGGAAGCAGACGCAGCCAAATATTTGTCTTTGAAATTATTTCGCAGCGAATAAATGGAAACTCCATGCAGAAAGGCAACTATGCGACCAAATGTACAGTCTTTAACCCTAACCCGATAAATTAAGCAAAAAACGTTGCGTGGGTACGGACACTTTCGCAGGATCCTGAGTTAACATGCCATAGTGCTATTATGGCAGAGAAAAAGTCCTCCAATCAGATTCTAACGTGGATAGCATGAGTGAAAAGATGTGCAAAGTGCTTGTTGTTTGAACAAGGAATACACACTGACATATGCTGGATGCCGAGCAGCTGCATTCGCTTCCTGAATCACTAGTCCCTTAGGTACTGCTAAATGTTTTTTGGGGCAAACTAGCTCCAATTAATTTGGGTCAAAAGGGATGTCTTCTTTCCAAAGACATCAACACCAGTGTAGCCCAGAGCGGGTTGTTTTTATTATTATTTATTTGTTTTATTCTTTGGTGGATGAGCTCCAGTCAACCAAATGGTCGTTTTACTCAGCAGCAGCCTGAGAAGTTGCTCAAAGCAACATATTGCATCTGAATTGAGGTCAATTTATTTTATAAATAAAGAAAAACATTCTCTGCCAAGACTTGGGATTGTTATAACCAGTGCTGTTCAGCACCACTGGAGGATACATTCGAGCAAATCTGCGATATTATTAAGCTAACATTATGTTCCGAAACTTGCAGTGTGTAGCTTAACAAGAAAGATATGGATCGGACAAGATTAGAAACAAAGACACTTTGAATCCATGGATTAAGCTGCAGAGAAATACCCAAAGTATTCACAGAGCACACTTACACTGATAACTCAGTAGGCTTTGCACAGCCTTCCTTTGCCTTTCTGCACCGTGTGAGCCAATATTACATACATAAGTCAAAGTCTGCTAAGGCCCCGGATTATTGCTTAAAAATTGTGCAATATTTTTAAGTGCTAAATATATTTATAGAGATCTCTGGATCTGCACACTCTTGTTTCCAGTACCAAAAGGAGAAAGCGCAAAAATCACGTCTAAGGCTGAGGATTAACCAATACAGTCAGACGCAAACGCTCATCAATCGTACTGAGAAACCAGGAAGTAAACATAGTGGGTCCAGTTGTCTTGGAGAGATGAAGGAGATTTTTTTGTTCCACAGACTTTTGTCTGTAACTTCACCAGCAGACATGTAAAAGCTTGTGAAATATCTTTATCATTTTAATAAACTATTCTTTCATCTTGATGTAGAAGCTGTTTGATACACCCTTTTCTTAGTTTCATTTATTGGAAAGTTTTGAGATCCTTGTTACTTTAGATAAATTATAAGTCGATGCTACTAAAGAAATGATTTTGAGAAATGAGTTTGTTTTTTTCCGACTATCTGAGGCATTGCAGTAATTTGTTAAGATTGCAATATGACCAATTTTTCATTTTCAGAAAACTCTTTGAGTTTGTTAGAATACAATATTATTAGGTTATAAATAGTCCCCGACTTAAATATTGTTCCAGTGTTTTAGCAGCAAACTCATTCTCAGCACGAAACTAAAAAAAAAAAAAAACTACATTAATTCAAATAAATACTCAAATAACTATTTTCTGCCAGCTCTAGGCAAATATAACCAGAGCTGGACATGATTCATTTGTGCTGCGAGGAATCTTTATTTTTAAAACCTGAAATTGAATAGTAACGTGCTGTTGTTGTTTTTTCTCTCTCTCTCTTTTCTCAGAGAGCGTGACAGAAGTGAGGACAAACATCTATGTGACGAGTTTTGGGCCGGTGTCGGACACAGACATGGTGAGTGTTTCCTTCGTCTTGTTTCAACTGCAAATGGACACATTAAAGAAAATTCCCCATTTAGCATGTAGTCACTTACAGTTGTTAAGCCAAAGTAGTTTGAATTGAAACAGCATCTGAAAAAACATTGTTTTTAATGGTAATTTACTTGACTTTACTTTAGTTTTTTTTTAATCCAGTAATCAATGTCCGAGCTCATTGGTCAAAGTGTAAACTATGTATGAAAAAGCATATTTCTAAAACTTGCTAATGCAGTGAAGTTTAAGGGTGTTTATTTCATCTCGTAGTCCAGTAGATATTATCCAATCGGGGACCAAAGTTGTAATATTTGTTACATTTTCAGCTGGTGCTGTTTGTTTTCACACTGCATTGTGTCAAATGAACCAAACTGTTTGAAAAACCTGTTCCTTCCCTCGCCTGTTGTGGCACCGCACCAAGAAACCCTGAAAGAAATGACAAAAAAAACCTCTGAAGAAGACGCTGAGCGCAACTTAGTTCTTCACAAAATGTAAACTAAAATGGAGTGGCATTAGATTTTAGCGCTTGTAGGATTTCGTATCTCTTTGGTAAAAAAACACAAACTATCGTTTGACTCACATGTTCGTTTAGGCTCCATTTACCCAGAATACCACACATTACAGTTTGCTTCCTGCTTTCGGAGCAGTCTCCGGTTCAGCTGAACCGAACAGAGACCGGAGTTCACTTCTTGGGTGCGATTGCGCGTTCACACCTCCCCAAATGAGACGGATTTTCTAGACCAATGAACTAAGAGTTGGATTAAAGCAGACCTGACATTTGACACAAAGTACCTCAAAAACAGAGAAACCTTTCCCCCTTTTTTGCTGTTTTTTTTTTTTTTTTTTTTTTAAACAATGCTGACAGTTCTACTACTCCACAATATAGCACCAAAGTAATAGAGTCAAAAGCTCCTTTCTAGCCAGCCCGGATGACCTCTGTTTAATCTTGGGACCCCCTGCAGCTTTTGACACATTTGCTCATGCAGCTCTAATTGCCCACTGTGGGCTTCAGGTTGTTTCTTTTGCTTGCTTCTGAGCTGCTCTGTCAGCCTGAGTGACACTGCAAGATAGGAACATTGTGGTTTCACTACACAGCTCCTTCATGTACAGTGGTTCAGCTCTTGGGTTCTTTGGAGCAGGTCATGTTCACGCTGTCAGACTGTGATTTCCATGAGCCGGCAAGGATCTCCTGAGGATCTCACTGACTTGTGTTAGCACCGCCGTAGCTGTCTTTTTGTGTTATCGTTAAAATTGACCACATTTGCTTTATGCCAGCTTACATAACGTTGTTACAAAATCTGGCTCAGCTGAGCTTCGCAACACTGAGTCAGTGCATCTATCTTACTTCATTCTGCTGATGGTTACGTCATGCAGCCAGGTGATCTTCATCTCAAGGCATCGTCTTCACTAATATGTTTTACAAAATGGAAACCTTCTGCTTTTCTGCTCTGTCCCCATTTCCCATCCTTTTCCATGAGGAGCACTGGGATTTGTAATAATGCGTTCCAGAATGAAGTTTTGTTTTTTTATTTAATTGGCATTTGTAGACTGGAGATAAGGCAATTATTAAAAATAATGACACAGAGGCCCAATTTGCGAATACACACTGTTGTTTTCCGTGCTAGAGACAAGAACAACAGCAGGGCCATTTTAATGGGTTACTCAACATCTGCCTCACTTCCTCCCGACTCTGTCTCTCTTAAACTTAACATGTGAACCAAAGACTGTAATGACAGGGAGAACATGGCTGCAGTTTTAGGAGGCACTCTATTCTTCTTTATGCTTTGTGTTTGAATAGTGTAGAACGAGACAGAGGTTTAGAACAATGACATTTTAGCATCACCTCGATTTGTCACTGTTGCAAACAATGTTTGATCAGTAGCTTATCCAGGTCTTAGTCACAATTCAGAGACACATGCATACAGAAAATGTTACTCTCATGCTGCATCATGCAGATTCTCTGTCTGCACCAGTGAAGATTTACTCACCTCCACACTTGACTTTTGAACAAATGGCAAAATAATCTGTTTGGTAATTGTGCTTTACTAGTATCCTATTATGGGGCACTTGTGTAGAGCTCTGAAAATATGTTAGGAATGTGATGATGTTGAATTCATAGGTATAATTATTGGGCAAGCTTTTATCTGATTTAGCATTTAGTTAGAACAATTAATTTGGTTAATGGATAAATATGCACTCAAACTACTTTTTTTTTATTTCATTGATTTCTGTCATGATAAATACCCCTTTAAGAAGGACACAATGCATGATGGGAGTTGAAAGTTCATGACCTGCGAATATATATGGAAAGAGAGAAAACTACACACGCTGTACGCTTGAATTGTGGATTTTGTTTAATAAAGTTGCACAAAACTGAAAATCTAAGCGTGCAACTCTTGCAACATCTAATCTCAATTCCCATAAAGCCAGTATGTCATCATGGTAATGTCACTGCAAAAGCAACGTTGTCCTGACACTGTGGTACAAAGCTGTGGAAAAAACTAAATGAAAGTACAGTGCAGCAAAAATACAGGATGTGAATTTCCAAAGAATTATGTTCATTTACTCATGTTTAGATTTTTGACATACGTTATTCAATGCACCAAATTACACGACAAGATGGAAAATAAAATGACAATAGTAACATAATTGTAAAAAGAATGCCTCTAAAAGTCTTCTTTATTTTTAATTTTACCTAAACTAGTTTTTTTGTTGTTGTTTTTTCTGTGGAATTTTATAGATCTCTCTCAGGACTGATTTTTTTTTAACAAATTACATGCATGGAGCATCTGTCCAGAACCAGGCAGCTCGTTGGAGTACACAATGTTCAGACATCTTACTTATTTACGTACGACCTGCCACCGGATAACACTTCCTCTGACAGAAAGTATTCCTCGCTGCTGTCATGTAGCACTTAGTGCACTTCTTACCTGTCTTCATATCTTAAATACACACCATCTGTAAACTAAGCAATGATTGGTTGTAGCTTTTAATATTTGCACATGACCGAGACAATAATTGGCACATTATTAGCAAATAATAATGGAACAATTCATTACTGTGTCTGAGGAATTTAATGCTCTCTCGTAGAAAAAAAAAAACACTCTATTAGCTTATAATATTTTGGTTTTATTTATTCCCTCCTGAAAAATATCTCTAAAAGGACATTTGCAATCCTCCTGCAGCATTTTTGGCCACATCATAAATATTCTGTACAGAAAAAGTAAAGAATGTCTAACTTAAAGTGAAACGGTACTTCATCCAGGAGTGCTGTATCATATTTTTATCTGTCCTCATTACAGGAATCCTCGGTTTGAGCCAGTCCCCGCCGCTGTGAGGACTCAATATGTGAAACACTCTATTCCCAACTTGCTTTGTGAAAGAATGTTGGCTCACTTGCGTTATTTTAATAGACAGTCCTTTATCTTTTTCAGGACATATCACCTTTGGGGTCTCTCAAAGCTCAGTTATGGATCTAGAATTTTTTTATTTCCTTCTTTTTTCACACGCTCCACTTGGCAGGAACATGAATCAAGTGGAAACAGCCTGGGACACAGAGTCTCACTTGTGATAATGTTTTGGCCAGATAAAAAGATAGTGAGGTCGGTGCAGGTATATCCTGTCGGTCGTCAAAGGCAAAACAAGAACTGCATTCAAACACACACACACACACACACACACACATATATAAAATGTCTGCTTCATGGTCTTTTTTTATAAAGTAGGTGTTAAGGTATCGTTTAATCCCACATGTGCTAAACTAACTTTAGATTTAGTATCTTGTTTCCATCTGTTCTCATTGCTTAGAATTATCCTCCAATATATAGCGGTTTATGTCTTCAAAGAAATATTTTTGGGGAAAATGTTTTGAAGATTTTCAGAAACAGAGGTTCACACTTTTACATTTTGTGCAACTTTCCAAAAAGCATTTCACTAACTTAATTAATAGGTGTGTTGATATTTCTGCAAATCCACAACAAATTGTGCACATTGTCATATTTAAATGTATTTATCATAATTTCATCATGATAAATAAATTGTGAACTCACAGTTCAGTTCATTTGAATCATTTGTATTGATGCTCCTGGTCATGATGCAATCAAGAATAACACGTAAGAATCTAACAAATAAGAATTTGCTTTTCTCTTTCCTCTTGCTCTTTAATAATTCCTCCCACTGAATTTGTTTTTATTTTCAGTTTTAGCAGTTAAATCTGAGGCCATTGCATCAGATTGCAATGGCCTCATTGTTAAGGTAAAGCCAGTTGTTATGCACTAAAAGTAGCAAAAGTGACTAGTATGAACACTAGTATAAGTCTAGAATAGTATGTGTCTTGACCCCAGACTTGAAGATTTGAAACACTGAATCAAGAACTGTCTATAAACCAGTTGGTCTTCTAAAGCAGAGTTTTGTAGAGAGTTATTTAAAAAGACTGCTGCATGAGATGAATCACGTTTATTGGTACATATTAGGGGGAAAAAGAAATTCCACGTGCCTAAGGGAACAACCTCCTACTCAGAGCTGATAAAAGCATATCTACAGTGGGTCGTGGATGGGGCATGTTAATGTGTTTTCTAGATCACGGGTTTTCAGGCTACATGAACGTGGACCTGTGCAGCGAGTGAGTAGGAAGCAGCACAGATTACTGCTCTGTTCTGGGACGTAAAGGCTCTTTGTCGATCAGCTGAACGGAGAGAAAATGGACAATCCAAGCTGAATTTCAGGGGATGATCGGAGGCTTTTAGAAAGAGTGCGTGCATATGTTATGCAAATTTGCTGCAATTCTGGTTCGTGAAGATACACTGAGAATAACCGCAACCGCAGTACTGGAGGGGGAAAGCGAGACAATTCGCAATATGGTGCAACGTGTTAGACGATAAAGAGAGTTGGAAGAAAACTAAAGTCAACCGGGTTCCACAGTCAGAGAAAAAGGAGCATACATCAGATTTTAATGGTGATCCTTTCAGGGCACAGTGAGATTAT